TTTGTAAAAAAAAACTGGGCCAAGAAAAAGTTTTGTTTGATTCCTACTGGGAAGTCGAAGTTTTTGAAAAATACACAGAAATAAAAAAAGGAAGCCAAGTCAGGAATTTTTAATAAATGGTGATGGTGCACAATCAGGTTTCTATAAGTAAAATAGTTCTCAATGGAATAAGTATTCTAAAAAAATTCTCCATCAAATAAAAAATCAGTAGGAGCAGGACCAACGTCCTTGGCGCGGATCAAAGGATGGAGGATTGGATTGATACAGACAGTGAGTTGAAAAACTCCGCGCCAAGAACGTTGGTCCTGTTCCTACTGAATTTTTATTTCATGGAGATTTTTTTTAGAATATTTATTCCATTGAGAACTATTTTTGTTATAGACCCCTGATTATGCACTATCACCATTTATTCAAAATTCCTGACTTGGCTTCCTTTTTTATTTCTATGTATTGTTCAAAAACTTCGACTTCCCAGGAGGAATCAAACAAAACTTTTTCTTGGCCCATTTTTTTTTACAAAAACGTGTTTTTGTGTTTTTAAACAGATTTCGTAATTTTTTTCAAAATAAGTAAGAACTGTTTTTACATCTGGCGAAATTCGTTCTTTTCGATTCAATTTAACTTATTCATTTTTCATAAGATAGAACACTTTTTGAATCAACAATTGAATGGAAATAAACACAGATCTGATGTTCTACTACAGATTTATTGCCTCCACTGAATTCCAATTTTTAATCATCTCTCTATATAATAAAAGAGGAGCTTTCGTCTAACGCTGAAAAATTTTCAGGGGTCATCAGGGTCCCGGGGGTCATAAGGGTTTCGATGGTCATAAGGGTCCTAAGGGTCACAACGGTCCTAAGAGTCACAAGGGTCCTAAGGGTTACAAGGGTCATATGTCACCTGCGGGTCATAACGGTCATAAGGGTTATATGGAACCTGAAGAACATAAGGGTCATATAGACTACAAGGGTCATAAAGTAGTATTCGTGTAACGCTGAAAAAATTTCAGGGGTTATCAAGGTTCCAGGCGTCATAAGGGTCAGAAGGGTCGTATAGGTTCTAAGGGTCACAAGGGTCATGTGGAACGTAAGGAAATTCATATGAGTCCTAAGGGTTATAAGGGTCATATGGACTCCAAGACACATAAGGGTCATATCGGTCCTAAGGTTTATACAGCTCAGAAAGGTCATAAGGGTCATGTGGACATAAGGGTCTTATGAATTCTAAGCGCCATAAGGGTCACAAAGAACGTAAAAGTCACAAGTGTCATATGGGCCACAAGGGTCATAAGGGTCATAGGGGCATATGGACAGAAGGTTCATAAGGGTTACACGGTCTATAAAGATCATAAGGGTCATGCGAGTCATACGGGCCATGAGGATCAAACAAGCAATAGGGGTCATAAAGGTTGTATGGGCTTCAAGAGTCATATGGACTCTTGGTCATATGGGTCCTAACGGTAACCCTGCAAAATTTTCAGGGGTCATGAGGATCTCGGGGTTCATAACGGTCCCGGGGATCATAAGGGTCAGAAGGCTCACAAGAGTCATGTGAAATATAAGGCGTTGGATAGAGCCTGATCCCCTCCCC